AGAATCTTTGGAATCCAACATCTCAAAGAAAAAAAAACTTCCACACCGCCGACATTTTGAATTTTCCTCTCCGTTGTGAGATCAGGTAGACGCGTGTGACGTCATCAGCTGCAATCATCCTTGTCACTGGGTTGTCACACAAAACCAGCATCTTTTATATTGGTGAGTTATTTTAATGGAATGACCAATGTCCGATATTGAACTTTAACGTTAATATCAGCTGATACCGTTAACATGCCGATAATATCGTGCATCCCTAGGTGGCTGCTTTCTAAGCAGTCCCCAATTACTTAAACTTCAAACAGGTTTTCACGAACATTGGAAACAATCGGGACACTAGGTACACTAATGACCAAATTTTAAAAAGTGTCACTATTACCGCCTGCCCCCATAAAAGACGAGTGACGATGCAACTGCCTGTTTGTGTCTGCTTGTTTGTCTGTCAGCTAAACACGTCACAAACCACGTGGATTAAGATTAAACTCAAAATAATCAATGGATCTTTGAGCCAATAACTTTTGGAGTCAACCCAATTCAAGATGGCTGCCACGGCCAGTAAACCTTATCCACCACAAAAATGTCTGACTTCTGCACTTTTACAAATCTTCAGCTTAAATGTGGTGTGGTAGTAGCTGCGAATCATTTACAACCCATATTCTAAGCGCTAACAGATCACAAATTAAAAATTGTCCTGCGAGGTGACGGACATTTGGAATTCCTTTAAGGATGTCATCTTTAATTTATGTTTTATTATTTTTACAGTTCACACCATCCGCACTGGATTAAATATGTGAATATCCAGTGAGAGAAAAACCTGAATATAATCTTGTCTTGTTGTATTTTCATAAACAAATGAGCAGAAATTATAGTCCATAAATCAGTATTTAGTCACCTGGTGTTGATGCATTATTAAGTTTTTTTTATTTTATTATATACTTTAATAAAAACTAATTAACATTCAATAAATGATATTTGTATTCCCACTGTTTATCATGTTTTACAAGTTATCCACAGACCCACTAAGAAATGTCTTCAAATGATTTTCTTTACCCAAATCATTTAAGCCAGATTCTCTAAAATAGTTTAGAAGTTCAATTTCACTTAAAGAGACATTTCAAATAATTTGAAGTTGGGCGTTATGGAACAGTAATAAGCAGCCCAGGGTTCCAGCATTTTAATAAAAATTTAATTCTGAGTTTTCCCTGATTTGTTTTTCCTGAGTAAATCCTGAAAGTCCAGGAGATATTTCTGTCACCTAAAACATGCAAAACTGAGCAAATCTTAGGATTTACTGCAGCAGTGAGTGATTTAACGCTTGGTGTATAAACTTTTTTATTTCTAATTACCGGGGTGTTTTCTATCTGTCTCTGGGAACCCTGAGGGTTTCATTCCGATAGGACTGACGAGCCAATAGCTCAGGGCTGTTCAACTGGCGGCCTGCGGGCCATTTCCGGCCTGCGGGTGACTTCAATCCAGCCCACTTCATAAAAACAATTTTTTATATATCTATATCTATATCTATCTATCTATATAAATATATCTATATCTATCTATCTATATAAATATATCTATATCTATCTATCTATATAAATATATCTATATCTATCTATCTATATAAATATATCTATATCTATCTATCTATATAAATATATCTATATCT